CTGACATTAAAAGTGGATCAATTAGAGGAACCAGTCATGAATAGATATCAGATTTTAATTGAGCCAATCACAGTCAGCTTTGTTAATTTCCGCCCAGCAACCAGCTGGTCTCAACTGCTGAAAAAAGCTCATCATCAATCCACCAATCAGAGCAGAGAACATCCGGTTTGTCTGTGTCACTGAGACGGAGATTGAGAAAACCCTAAAACTTCCTCTCAAACAAGACCCCATAATCCAAAAACTGTAGGTCAATTTGTGTGGATTAAGTTAAAAGTGTGACCATTGTAGCCATTTTAAAACCTGGCACGTCTGCTTTTCCCTAGAAATGAATGCTCTTGATTAATATCGGAGCTTATGGAATAGCTAGTTGTAACTCTTGTCATTCTGGAAGTCAGAGTGTCAAAAGTTTAAGTGTGTTTGATTCCATAGTTACATGTATAGACCAGCGCAAATGTTCCTATTTGTTTTAATGTACAAATGAAGAATTTTGTATTTTTTGTGTTCGGTAAGATATGCTCGTTTTTTGTTTCAAAGGTATTAATTCTTTTTTTTGTGTGTGTGTTCATTATTTTCCTATTTGGCACTGTTGTTATTCAGACATAGGCCTAATATAATTCATGTATTTGTGTGTGCGTGTATTTTTAAAACTCTTTTAACGCCGGAATGTTTTTTTTTTAAATTCGAATAATTTCTTGCCCACTCGTCCGGCCGTTCCTGGACCAGCTGACTGCAGTGCAGTGGTCCACGCTGGAGACTGGGTCTGATGATGACGAGATAGCAGAAATAATAACAGACATGTGTGCCAATATTGTAAACATTATATCTACACACATATATGATTCATTTAAACAAAGCCAACTAAAGAATGACTTGTGTTTGACCCCGACTCCTGGATCTGATGGGTCCCAGAAGAACTCTTCTGAGCCTGATGGATCACAGAAGATTTCTGAAAGCCAAGTCCGCGAGTGCCTGGGTGACATTATTGAACTCACATTTGCGGAGGCGACAGATGTTTGAATCACTTGTCCGAGCACAGAAAAAGTGACTGAAATTGTGACGAAAGAAGTGACAGAGCGCATTAACTCTGAGCTCTGCAGGAGTGGAAGCAGCGGAGGAAATGAACCGCAAGTCTCCAGGTCCTTCACCCACAGACTAAAGACAATTGTGAAACACGTAGCGAAGATCCTAAAAACATGCGCAGCGAAGGTGAATTGTAAGTCCAGCTCGTGTAACAAAAAAGCTCAGCGGACTCCTGAAATGGAGGCTGATGAAACTCAACTCAACCAAGACACTGAGCCTGATAAAACTAGGGAGCCATGGCAGATCCTTGTACTTCCCTTTGAAGAAGACAAACCAGAAAACAGTCTTCCAGAGATGACATGCACTTCCAGCTCGCATAATAACCTGAAAGATCAGCATAAAATGGAAGCTGATAAAACTACAGAATCAGCGGACCAGGACACTGAGCTGCCTGGAACTGAGGAGTCGTGGAGTCTTCCCTTTGAAGACGAAAACTGCGAGGAGAGCTTTGTAGATAAAACGACTGAAGCCGTGAAGAAGATCCTGCAGGACGAGGCAGATGCTATCAGTCCGATTGACTACAATCTCGAGAGTTCACAGGACGAACACGACCTGCTTGTGTCAAGTGCCTGCCAGGATGCAGACCAAGCAGCGTCTGACATAGTAAGAGATATAGTGGAGGATCTGAAATTAGAGATGTTCAGCACACCGCCTGGATCACAGGCCAAGCCGATCAAAATATCCTGCTGGAAGAGGGTAGGAAGAAAAATTAAGGCCTTTTTCGTCCACCGATTTGCCAAGGCGTCAATCCTTAGCTTTGTGGAAAAGCTTAGGAGGAAATTTAGCTGCTTCCCACCTTCAGAAAAAACATCAGTGGAGGAGCTAATTGGCGGGGTGGGTGAGGTGGTGGACAACATGATCAAACAAGAGGAAAATGGCCCAGAGTGCATCTATGAAAGAATTGCCAGGTACATTTCAACTGGCCAATATGAAATTGTCACTATGACGCTGACTGAGTTAGTATTCCAACATCTAAAACAAGGGTGCAAGTTGAGGTTTCGGGTCGAGATTAAAACTGAAGTGGACGCTTTTATGAAGCTAATGTGGAATTGGCTTAATCAGCAAGTGCAGCTGCGCAAGAACAAGAGGGACCACATGAGCAATGCTCTGAAGAAGTTCAAGGGAGCAATGGTTACTGTGGAGGGCCCTTTGGTGACACCTGTTTTGGAATCACCACCAGCTTCTGTCACTACTGTCAGTGACAAGGCAGGTAAGGCTGCACGTAAGGCCAGAGCGCACCCAGTCCACAAGTGGGATGAAGCATCCTGTGGGCTTGTGGTGTTTGGGCTGCTTCACCAGATTATGAAAGGTGCGCAGACTGATTTGCCTTTTGTCAAAACCGCTTTAAGTACACTGAAAGAGATGCTCTGGGCGGAGATAGCAGACTCTGCCGTTGCTATTAGGCCAAAGAGTAACCATATTAACAGCATAGCGAAGGCGGTGAACAAGGACTTGTGCAAGAAGATGGGCGACGCAGACGGAGTGCGATTGAGCCTGATGCTAGAGGATGTACTTCTTTACAAATGTATAATTGACACTCTAAAAAGCCATCTGATGACACCACAAAAGACCAAGGTTAAGACGTTCTTCAAAGGTCTTCTCAAAAAAATGGCCAAACCATTCGCTGCCTGCTGCAGTTGTGCTGCTGATCTGCAGTTGGGGGGCAGGCAGGAGATACCCACCTTTTATCGCTTTGTCATTTTGTCAAAAAACCCCACTCCATTTAATAAGTAAGTCATCGGTTTCCTCCCGCATTTTTAAATTCTGGGGCTCGACACCATTGCTGTGAGTACACATGCTCACTGTGTTGACATGGCTCCAAGTGCTTCAGTTTCTCCCACATTTTAAATAACAATGAAAAAAAAAAAACACGTCCAGAAGAACACTGTGCTACGAACCTCAGTTCGGCTGCTAGCAGTGTTCAACCTGGATATGAACTGAATTTTGAGTGTGCCTGAATGCTTGGTGCGTATCCCGAGAGATATATGGGGAGTTTATTTTGAAGGAACAGCCTCATCTTCGTTTCCATTAAGATACATTTACTTTCTGTTGATTTTATTTTGAAAAAAATAGGTGCATTCATTGCCTCCTGTTAATGAGCCCTTGGAGTCTTTATTTTGAAAAACAAGGGTCATCCATTAAGATACAGATACTGTACAGGACAAAATGGCTGACATTAAAAGTGGATCAATTATAGTAACACGTCAGTATCAGACAGAATTTAATTGTGCCAGTCAGCTGGTCTCAACAGGAAGTTCGTGTAAAATAAGCGATTTGAATGAGCAGATTATTTCCTGTCAATATTGCATCAAAGATGAGTATTGCTGATATTTGTATCAGCTTTTTATCCAATTCTCTGTCTGTATTATATATTTATTAAATATTTTACAAATCATAAACACTTAATAGCCTTGGTTTTTTTTTAACAAATTCAGTGTTTTCTTCTCATTGTTCTGTTAGCTCTGGTTGTTTTAACTGCATACTTTCCTAACACAGAACAAAGCTGTTTATCAGAGAGTGAAGGCTCTGTGAACATAACTTCTGTTCATGTCTTCAAAGTCTAGATCTTTAATGTTAATCTAAAATTAAAAGAATTACAATTTTATCCAGTTTGCTTCACAGCAGTTGTCTTACACCCCTTAAAATCAAGAAAGGCTCCTTGCAACCCCTGTGAAGCTTTGGCGGCCCTAGTGGAGGGCCCGAGCCAGGTTGGGAACCCACTGCTTTACACAAACAGCCTTGCTTAATAATCCAACTACATTTCAGAGGGACATATAGGCCATATCCTACTTTCCATCAGTGGCTTTAGCTGCTTCCTTCTTCAAATAAAGAAAAAAAACACAAGTTTTAGTTTGAATTGCAATTTATTTCAAGTGATGCTAAAATGAAAATCCAAGTCTTAAAAAACCTTTTAACACTCCATTTATATCCCAAACACACACAATATCTATTATCACCCAAACTCTGTCAGATACAGTAAATCCTTTTTGTTAAGTATCCACTTGGTTAACAACTATGCAATCAGTACAAGGACCTAAAACATAACCCCAACTCTACAGCCGTCTGAAGGCCTGTGCAAGGCCTCGATATGCATAATATTCAGGCCTGTGGCGGCTTAACGGCTCTGGTAGGTTGTTTCATGTGCAGCCTAACAGTTTATTAACTCCTTAACATCTGCTCCTTTGCATTAGAATAAAATACACTTAATGGACAGAAACAAAATGCACTTTTAAATGTGATTCTGTGTTTTAAGAAAGAGTGACAAGGTGTGAAAGCATCATACAAATGTGCCTTATGTAATTGCATACTCTTCAAAATTGTTCTCAATGTTGCATCACGTGTCAGGAAAGCTATATATAGACAGCAGGCCCCTACAAAATAAAAGTCAAGGAATGCACGGTGAAATGTGATGGTGAGTGTGTTGACCGAGTACAGAAACAATGAGGGCGTCTCAGAATGTGTGCACACAGGACTCTGATTCAGTGGAGGAAGGCGTGTGGAAGACATCTCCGGTGGAGGGACTACGACAGCATCTCATTAGTTTTCACACCACAAAATGTAATTCAGGACGTATAGGTTTGAAGGCAGGTGTCTGTGGAGAGGTAGACAAAGTACACAAGCACCTCATTCCTCCAAAGCTTGCTCATGTAACCACAGGTTTAATAAAGAAAAAAATGGCTTTCTGTTCTTCTCCCAAACATTTTGCTGTCAACGCCTGCAGAGGACCCTGAGAACATTTCTGTTGGATGTGATTTAGTTGGAACTGTGCTACTGTCTTTGCTGTTGTTGGAGAAACCTCTTGTTCTGTTCCTCTAAACCTGAAATATCAGTCACATTTCTATTCCACATTTGTCTGATATCCGCCACAAACCCTCACAAGCCTTACGACGCACTGATAGTCGACACGCTGAACCCTGGACACAAGCCTCAGCAGCAACAGTGGAAGATAGAAAAAGAGTGTTTCCACATTCAGTGCTTTCTGGACTTTTTTTTTTTACCCTGGTTGTAAAAATTGTTCCTGGGTGTTTGCACTCAGCCTGCCTCCATTTAGACTCAGGAAGAGGTTGGACCAAACAGAGGAAGTTCATGATTGAGATAAATACCTGGATACTACAGGGGTGCACAATTAGGGCTGAAGGTTCATTCTTGATCTTGGAAAACACAAAAAGGAAAGCTGGAGCTCTCAGCCACATCTCTTAATCAGTGGTTGTAGTTTGCTCAGAAAGCCAAGTTAAATGGACCTTACAATGTGTTTTTTTGTCTAATAATAATCAGAATGACTCTTCCTAAGTCCCACCCATTTTTGTCTCTGTGCTCCATAACAGTTGAGCAAGTCTCCAGTCAAAACTTCGGTCAACTTTCTCCTGTTATTGGAGCACAGAGAAAAAGGGGGCGGGACTTAGGAAGGGCCAATTAGGGCTGGGACTTCTTACAGATGTATCAAGAATTACTGTGTGTGTTTTTGTCCGGCTGTCAATAAGATCTGAGGGTAAGCGGTGTAATAATCAATCAATAATCACATGACTACCGGTCAGATTGCTATGAAATTGTCCTGCCTGTTTGTGATCCCCACATATACGCCAGCAACAGGCAAAATTTTAAATTTTAGATATTAAATATTAAAATTTAAGCTTGCCTTGAAATTCACCAACTAAATATCCCCAGAGGATGAACCCACTGGACTTGAATAACAGTGCAGCCTTTCCTGTAGCGCCAAACATCACATTTTTAAGAGAAAAGAAAAGCTACGTCATCAGTTTGTTTGTACCATTGTACTTTGTGTAAGAACGTTGCAGAATCTATGGTGAGTCTAACGTGTTCATGATTTAGTCTTTAGATTTTTTTATCCAAATACTAGGATGACAGGGTGGAAACTACAGATGCTTTTAAATTAACCAATGACAAGAATGTCAATATTTCTGTCCTATTGCAGTTTGTTTCAGTTGAGCAGTTTGTCCCAACCCTAATCGTGAATATCTGCCTCAGTGGTTCACACTATTCATGCATTTGAAATTTTACTGCAGCATAAATAAAGTAAAATATATTCCAATATTGCCACTGATGAAGCCAATAGCAAACGTATGATTATACATCAATCAATTGTGCACCCCCAACTACAACTAGGAGTAAAGAAGAAAGGGGTCGGAGGCGAAGCAGAAGAAGTTGGAGAGCTGGATTCTAAACAGTACAGTGCATTCCTTCTGATGACACAAAGTGATATTGAACAGATCCTTTGTGCATCGAGTAGAGAAAAAAAAAACATCAGCCTAAAGCTTTGCAGTCATTGTACAAGTTGAAGTGTTTGAAGAAAACTGAGGTTCTGTGCAAAACGGTGCAGCTTCCCTCGTACAGTTCAGACAATCTGTCCTCCTGGATCCACGGGTTTGTTTTCAGAAACCTTCAAAGAGAAGTACAGATGTACAGCAGATTGATAAATGCTCTGGGTGTTGGATCACTGAGAATGTCATTGTAGAAAGCCCCACACCGACTGCACTGGATT